AAATTGTGAGAAGTAATTGTATCGTAAGAATAAAATATACTTTTCTCACAAAGGCTATATGGGAAAATTAAAAAATCTTTAATTAATCAATTGTTCCTTTTTTTCTTCTTCTTGAATAGCAATTTTTTCTCTGATACTCACCCATTCTAATTGATCTATCAGTTTGCAATTTTGGTTTTAATTCATCGTCATTATAATTTGAATTTCCAGCTTCAAGTGTAGCATCTGAATTATTATTTTTAGAACTAATTTCATTAGTGGAAGGGGGAGTATATTGTGGTGGCTCGGATTGATAATTTGGAGGTGGAGGCCAATCATCATTATTATTTCGATTCATTGGTAAAGAAGTCGATGGAGGTTGGGAAGGTGGAGGTTCAGTTGGAAGCATATAAATTCCTATATGTGGTGGGGTCTCTTGAGAGAGAAATTGTTGCTGAGAGGGATTATTATTATTATTATTATAAATATAATTTTGAGCTTCGGGGAATTGAGCTTGACGCGTCATTAAAGTTGATGTATCAGTTTCTTGTGAGGGTGTTGAAGTTCTACTTATACCACCCGTAAGATGATCATAAGAATGAGTTGTCTCTGTTTCTGAATGAGTTTGAGAATACGAAGATAATGAATCATGGGATGAAGAAACTACAGCATTAAGCCGATTTCGTTGTTGATATAATTGCTGTTTCGGTATTTGTTGTTGTTGTCTTTGTAATACATTATCATTATGATTATTATTATTTTGATCTGACATTTTTGAAAAAAAAAATTTTCTTTTTTTTTACTTCTTTTATTATTTTTTCTTCTTTTTTTTTTTTGTCCTTGAACAAGGAACTTTTATATTGACAAGTAGAAAATATGTAAGTTGGCTTATTCTTAAGGGGAAGGAGAATATTTTTGTGTTACAGATGCACACAATGCTTTATCTTGTTGGTGAACGAACGGAAAAGCTCATAAAAGAAAACGCGAAAGGATTTATAATCAGAACTGTATGCACGAGTTTTTTATAATATTACCGGTTTGTCGCAGACAAAAAAAATAGCAAAATTAAAAAAAAATTAAAAAAAATTTTTTTTTTAAAAAAAAAATAACAATTTATAAGGAAAGTTCAAGATTTCTCTTCCTTTAAAAGAAAAGGAGTTATATTGGATTTTTTCCGCTATTGAAAAATTTTTATACAAGAAATAAAAAATAAAAACTTATATTTCTCGTGAATGGGCAGAAAGAAGTAAAATTTCAAAAACTTAAGGCGCCTTTCTAGTAAGCTATATAAGGGTCACAAAAACTAACGTTACACGAACATACAATTATGGCATTCTTAATTTATTTTTTTATTGTTGATCGGATTTTGCATAAATTATAAATTATTTTAAATTGTGTATATAAATAATATTTAATTTGTATTTATTTATTAATTCATGTTTCAGTACTTCTCGAGTAAACTTTTTTTAGATTTTTAAAAAAGTATTAATGAATATCATCAATCTTGGATTGTTTATCAATCGTTACACAGTTTGATAAAATATTTCGAAATACTGTATGTAATTTTTTTTTTGTGGAAAAAGTTAATTGTTCCTTGCTGTAGGGGTTTCTAACTATGCGTATTATGTTAAACTACATGACAATAAAAAAAATTATTCTATTATTAGATTAGAATGTATGACATCAAAAACAGCCATTCGGTGAAAATTTTTATTGAAAAAAAAAAATTTATATATTTTAAGAAGTGTGGAATTCGATTAAAGAAAAAAAATTTATAAAAAGTTGTTCAAAATTCTAAATTTAAAATTCTAAACAAGAATTTAAAGCCTTTCTACAAATAACGCCAATTCGGCCTAATTGTTTGTTTTTTGTTTAACGCGAAAAAAAAGAAATTGAAAAAGATAGACCGTAGCTGTCCAGAAATTGATTTCTAGAATCTAGATGTAAATTTCTCGATGCATTTATTTGTATGAATTTCTTACTTTGTGATACATATATAATAAAGTTCAGATTGTAAAGCTATTAGGGCTTTGTGCTAACCAGAATTCACCGCAATAGTTCTCTTTATACCTAAAATATTTAACCTGAAACTAATCCAAAAGCACTCGACCGAAACGCTGTTATGTGTAACCTTAAGTTTCGCAACTGTACGTATCACGTGATTTTTATTTTAAAAAAGATTTATTTACATAAGGAGTAAACATATATACATAGAAAACAATTGTACTACAAATGATTTAATAATTGTTTACAGTGTTACAGTTTAGTGTCAACTAACGTGTGACAAATATGTCTCTTACTGAAACATCGAGGGGGCGGATGTGATACAGTTTATTGTGTTGCCAGTAAAAATCACAAATATATAGTAAATAATATGATCCATAACGGGAAACGTCCCCATATGATTTAATGGCTTATAACGTTACCGAATCCGAACCCTAACCCTAACATATAGGATGGCTTTTTTTAACATTTTAATTTTTTTTTTTGATAAAAAAAATACTTTTTTTGTATTAATTAACTGTGTAATGGAAACGTTTAAATTACCATGTATAAAAAATGTTGAATTGTGACCAATAAGCCGCGTCTGGGAATAAGCCAATAAATCACATGATAAGATTTACTCACTGACAACGGCTACCAACTAGTATTATGAATTTTTTATTAAAATAAATAATGTAGATTACACCTATACAATAATTTCAGATGTACTATAAATTTTCTTCTGATTTACTTTATAAAAAATTTAATTTAATTAAATATATTATTATAATAATTTATTATAGTAAAATAAAAAAAATTAAACAATATAAAAATTATTAATAATAATTAAAATTTATTAATAGGTATATAATATATATATATAAAAAATTGTTTTAACAAACATATAAGATTGCATAAATTAGTTTAAATATAAAATATAATATAATTTTATATAAATTTGTATGGATTTACATAAAGTTAATAATTTAAATATCTATTTAAAATTTGATTATTTGATATACTAAACTAGTAATGTCCTAGGACATGATAATATATTAATATATTATCATGTCCTAAGACACTACTTGCTCCAGACTATTATGTTCTAAGACGTCATAGTTTATCAATTAATATGTCCTAGGACACCATAGTCTATTGATTAATATGTCCTAGAACACCATAGTCTATTGATTATTTTGTTCTAAAAATGGGGGCTGTTTTCCCTTTCTGTGACCTGTTGGTTAGTAAATATGGATGAGATGTGTGCCTATTTGGTTGCCTGTTAAAATGCCAAATTGTAGTAAAAAATATGTCAGGTGATGCAGTAAATTTGTGATTAATTTTGGCCAGCATTATACCATAATTTTGATAGATCTTTAGAACATGTGATTCAGAGATCCAGCTTGACGCCATGATAGTAATCTGCTAGTATCCTGGAGCTGTTATAGAACTGGTGAGGAACTAGTTAAAATTATAGTATAGTGTTAACTGAAATGATTGCAAGAGAGATACACTATATATCTTGTTAGGAGAGTCATATGATAGTATTCTCAAAGGGTTCAGTGACAGGTGATTCTTTACGCATGTATTGTTAAGAGAATCATATGATAGTGATCCCAGTGTACTTAATATCAGATGATATCCAGTGTAAAAATGAGGTGATCGTAATTTAGTGTACCTTAAATTCAGCCAGAATTATGA